AAAACCACAGTGACTGCTGTATGACTCTGAGGGGAGAGTTCATAACTTCAACAAAACTGATAATCGCTATCCGGAACCGGAATTTCTGTAAGAGCGATGCGTATTTAAAGAAGGACGAAAGGCCCAGGTCGTTGTCATCGCCATGAAACTGATTCTGATTCTACTGATTGTAGCCTTTGTTGTGGTGAGTTTAGTTTTGGTCCGCTTCTTCTAATTCAGGAGCAATAATACCCAACTCTTGGGAATATTCGAGTTGAGGTTCAGTTCGGCCTTTCTCGCAGAACAATTGTTTTTCCGGCTTGCTAGCTATTAAAAGATATCTCATTGACGTTTACGGAAAACTTGTTGCTTCTGGCACCCCAACCTTAAGCATATTAGGCGAGAACATGTAAGTTTCGGTGTAAGCTGGAGAACTTAGGCATAGTCCAAAGGCTCCGATTAACTGATTTCATTAGCAGTTCTATTTCATTCCATGTCCGCTCATTCGAGTGTAATTTTAGCTGGCAACTGATGCAGCGAATGAGAAAGGACCACATCCTCCACACGCAGGCCATAAGCCAGGGGATCATTCCGGATCGAAACCAAAACGAGCCGCTCCTTCACCACTGGAGGGCCGCTACATTTTAGAGGCGAGAGTGAAACGGCACCAACACTCTTCGGAAGAGGGCGGAAGTACTCACCACCCGAAGGCGGATTCTGAAGGTAAACAGAAGCGTGCAGCACTCACTTTGTAAAAACGGAACTCTTCCAAGGAGAAATCATGCGTAATCTCGATACGTCGACATTCTAAATCAGTCTGAGATAGTATATTCGCTGCCACCCGCTTGCGAATTCTCCGATTACTCCTTGCATTTGTTTATGATTGAATAAAGAAGTGGTTCTGGAATCCAGCTTGTCAGACCCGTAAGCGTTCATCGCAACCTTCTGCCTACACAATAATTTCAACATAACGACTAAAAATTCAGCCAAGAAAAGTAGATACCTTTCTTCTTACACCTTTTGAAGAAACCCGGGAAGCACTAGAGATCGTACCATCGGCAAGAGAGTGACATCGAAAACTATACCATCAACTTGGTATCATCCAATCATATCACGGCAACCCTTGCTTTGGAAGCGAGGCCGGTGATCACTAAGAGAATGTCATCCTTGTAAGTTAGGGGAACTTCCTTCTTTGTCTGTGGCATGCTGTAGTTAATGTACTGTTAATGCTGAACAACCAAAATGAGTGCATCGCCATAACAGACGAATTTCTGCCATTCATACCTTTCTGTGGGGTTTGAGAACACAACGAAACTCTTACCCACGAACGTCAATGGTGTCTCATTGGTCCCTTGTTGTTCACAGACTCGAGTGGAACGGCAGCGTTGGTGGAACCGCGGAAGGTCGGTTTCTCGGTTGGGATCTTTTGATGTTCAAGTTTCTGGGAGCTGTTGCACTGGGCTAGCGCGTTTGGGNNNNAACTGCTTTCAGTTCCTTGAAGACGAGCTAGTCGAAACGTCAACCAAATAAAGTGGTTTCGTGGAATTGTTAATTTTGCTTCTGCCTCGAGGTTGTTATGTTGGAATCTTTATTCTGACGGTCGGACAAAGGCCAGAAAATGGTTCAAAGCTTGTTGAATGCACACTACCCCACCAAGTGCCTCCTACGCTCTAGCGTTTCTGACTTACTATCAGGAATGCACGAAAAATGCCCGAAATTCAAAAGATAAACTCAACTAACTTCCACCGCATAGAGTAGCACTACGCTACATGAATAGTACGTTAGTAGTGAATGATCTTACTTCGCTGAACTTATGCAATAATACTGTTATTGTGTTATTTCTAGCTGAAATCCAGAACGCTTCCAACGCTTTCCTCGACGATATTTCTATCTCGTGAGCCAATATAGTACACCTGATGTTGAAGTCACTGCCACAATGCTGTTCCGCTCTGTGCTTCCCTAACGGAGTTAACACATTCCCTAACGGAGTTAACACATTACTGCGCCGTTTACCAGCAAGATGCACTTTGATTCGTACTGATAAAGCTCTTCCAATTTCCCTTGTGCTGCTTGAATTACATGCCTCACATTGAATCTGATAAATTACGCCTGCAGAAGCGCAATCTCCACTTTTTCCGTTTGGACATGTAACGCAACCCTCTGTCAAGCACTGCCTATCAAAGAGCTGTTCTTCGCAAGTTGGCGTTTGATGTTATTAGATGGAATGTTAACTAGAGTAATATTATCGCTCAATTGCGCTCGAACAATAAACCGTTGTATTGCAGCAGATAGCTTGTCAGAGATGAACGGTAAACATAGGGAGTTTGTTTTGGTGCAAAGTGTTTCTTCTGTCAACGTGGAATCTTCCAGTGTTATAATGTGGTACCGTTTAGCCATTCGACCGAGCTATAATTAAGCTAATCCTATTGATTCTCCGCGTTCGGTTATACCACTGCACATGCTCGTAGCTGTCCTGTATTATTCCTGATAATAGCGCGTTTAACAGCGGACGGATGCGCAGATGTAGCTTGAATAGATATGTTCTTCTAGCTTTTTTTTCGCTACCACTTGAAGGCACAGTTCACGATAAAAATGGTTCTGAGATACCCTCAAAGGATGAATTTGAGGCCCCGGCGTATACTATAGCTGGCACCATTAGGTCGGAAAACGGCCTAGTTAGGGAGTTATAAATGCTCAAAGATTGGCCCGTGTGAACCTCGGGCGAGTTTCACCGGCATTATAGAGGCTGCACCGATCACGAGGGAACCCACGTAGAAAGTTCAAACAACTTGTCATGACCTATACGACAGTGAAAGACAGTTCTGTACAGTTCTGGCTTGATGTGAACAGCTCTTTGTGCCATTGCAATAATTAAAATCTCGTCTGAATACCCCATCCATGTTATTTGTCACGGCAATCTCGTCCAACCTCTATTTTCCCTGCTTTTGAGGAGCTATATTTTTCTCGAAATCGGCGAATTCTCTCGCATTCTTCACTAACGATGAACTATTCCCAACTTATACTTCCGCTTTTCGAATGAAACCAAGCACCTCGAAATTATCGTGAGCTGTACCTTAAACGTGTACGATTTCGCTAGACACTTTGATATGAGTGTTGTGATAAGGGAGCCAACCATCTCGTCGTAATTCTCTTGTGAGCCTGAGGTACGGTGACTGCTCATTCATTATGCGGGAACATTCATCCATTTCGGACTGTGTTGGAGTCACAATGCAGCAGTCATCTACATAGTACATGTACTGAAGATAATTTTAGTAATTTCTCACTGCACACAAACATAGGTTTGATCACTTATACTAAACTCATGACCACAGCATTTGCGCGTACACACGCTGCTCAATTCTTCTTCTGTGCCACTACTTGAAGAGACTTCGCTTTCACTCATGTCACTGTGTCGCTTGCTCACTCATTCACCTGTGCGCAATTTTGAGACAACGGTTCTGAGGTGAGATAGACCGGTCTCCCCTCTAATTTGGTGAGCGACTGACTGGAAAAGGCGATAATGTGGAATTTTTTATTCACTGCTTCCGTTTCGAAGAACGTCTTTGTTTTGAATTTTCACTTTAGAACGTACCATAGCTTTAAAAACAGATAAAAGTTGTTTTGTCGCGAAGGTAAAGACTATGGATAAACGGAGGGGTTGCGGCGATATTGGACAGTTGATTAGAAATAAATTACCTCAAGTACCACAAAGGCCATAGAATGCAATGAAACCAACATAAGAGGCTTTCCAGTGAAGTCAAGTGCTAAAAGTGGTGCGGTGCAATTGTATCGACTCGCTTTCGCTGATAGCCTTTGTGAAGAACTCTTTACACGGTGGTTCTATTTGACGCCCCAAGGAAGGATCACCCTTCCTACAGCGCACTAATGAAGCAGACTTCATGTTCATGCTGCTTCCGTAGAGTCCATGTCTCAAAAGCGCATGCCAAAGCAGGAGGGTCCATAGCATCGAATGGATGCGTGCGGATTCAGATGTTCTTTCCTCTGTTCTCTACTCCCTTGATCCACAAATGCTCTTATAGCTGCGCATTTCCTTCTGCTCAGCTCCGAAGCTATGCCGTTCATCATGTCGATTTATTGACCAAGGTACGCGCAGATGGAGTTTTGGGTGATTTTCACTCCGTCTGACGTAGAAAAAGCGTCGGGTACCAAACTGTACTTCATGAAGTCATCTTCGTTCCGCTCAGTCGCGAACCGCTCTTTCCACAAGCGTTGTTCTGATGTTAGGTGTTACCGCACGATACCGTCTGCGAAGACAAAGTAGTGTACTTATTGTTATTGTTTACATATTTTCCTATGTGTTACCATTCCACAAGAGGCATGATGTTCTCAAAAGCGGCACAGAACTGTTGAGCGAGATGGTATTACAAGAATAGCCTTATATAATACCTTGGGCAACAACACCCTGATCGCTCAAGCTTGAATTACTGCTCCTCTCCCAACAGCATCGAAGGCATTCTTCAAGTCGATTAAAGTCATTCATAGCGAATCCTGAAAGGTCGCGAATTTATGACAGTGCGGATACAATCGATCGTATTAAGTCGTCCTATTGAGGAATTTTAATTTATTCAGAAACCCTCATTTGCATGGCTGTCCTGTTCTGCCAATCCTAAAGAGTGTTTATCTTAAAGCAGGCGAGTTCACAGGATAGAGTGACTCACCCACTTCCGAACACTGTGTCTGCTAAGGAAGATGACCAGATGCATGCAGAAGCCGCGCTATATGCCTCATTTTCAGATAGATGGAACGCGGCGGAGTATTTTAACTTGTATGGGAACGGCCTGCCTGATACACGTTTCAGATAATAGTCGCGTTGGGCGAATTCCTCTCAGTTTCACAGGAACATTCCCTGTCGTACGTCTTCACGCATAAAAAGTCTACAACGAATGCTATCTTCATAGGTGGACAAGTGATGGAGACATTTCGAGAAAATCGTAGACCTTGCCACCTAGCTTGCGATACAAGAGACTGTCATGCTAGGAATGAAGAAACTACGAGAGATCCCGGAAAGGGGCCTACCGAATAGTGCGCGCAAAGACGAATGATGAATGATTGCGAATGAATGACTTACTCATGGTCTTCAAAATCCTAAGGAACTTACTGAAGATTGATGTGTCCGGTTTCTTCCATATATTGCAATAAAACACGACGACAGCTGCCGCCAAACTATCGACTTCAAATGCCAAGACCCAATCAGGACCCAAGTTTCGCAGTCGCAGAGAGTTCGTAATTTCAGTTCTATTCAGCGCTCGAATCTGTATCCATCAAAGTATGTGACTTTTAAAAAAGTGTCATTGATAAAATCTGATCTTTTATGGTATTTATGGGTGTTGCGTGAGTTCTTTTTTCTTTTTGGGTTTTGTTACGTCCTTTTGACATGTTGAGTCTTCAACATATCCAAATTGATAGAACGAATTTATAGCGCACCTTTAGTACCATATAACAGCACATACCCATTCATCTTATAATTAGAACAGGTGCAAGCCAAAGGTACGGTCCTAAAACTCATGGCACTCCAAGGATTTTGAAGAATGGGAGGGGTATGGAACTAGTGAACACGATCCTGGCCATCCGGGACGCAGTTAACGACTTCATGAGCGCACGCGTAAGTCCCAAACACTAGTTGTAAGCCCCGCCCATCCGAATCCATCTCGTCCAAAGCAGTGTTGATCAGTTTCATATTTACAAAAGTGTAAGGATATTTTCATGCTCTTCTTTCCAGCCGCTAAAACCAAACTTATTTCTGCAGCTTACCTTGAAAAGAGAAACCGTCCGCAAACAACTTTCATTTCAGACCAGCCTGCATTGCCGGAGTGGGATTCGTTGCTGGAGCCTTCTTCGCCCTCTGCTTTCAGTGCCGTTGACTTTACCCCTACGCCACCGGTCTACCTCCCAACGATCGTCGAGTTCAGATGCGAAGAACCCTCGGACATCTTTCATTGTTCACATTGCCTTAAATAAAGTCTCATTCTTTCATTCCCGCTCATACTGGTGAAGAAATTATTTACAGACCGAACCTATCGCTGCTGCTGAGCCACCTCGATAAACATTTATTTCATGAATTAACATCTTCGGAATAATGACAACATAAACTCACTCTGATATCACGCGCGAAAAAGAATCATTGTCGTCACTCAAATAGAATATCTAAACAATTATCGACATACTTTGAACGATGCAAGACGAAAACAATATCATAAACGATGAAGTCCAACTTCATTTTCTTCTGTGAAAAGCTAAAAATAGAAAATAGAATATATGTATGGAACAAATAACACGTTCACTTGATGTTGGTTGAGGGAGGCTGGGCTTGTAGAGGTGATCGAGTGCCCGAAGACTACTCACTTCTAAATCACAGGGCCTAGGGTAAAACGAGTGCTGCAGGCGCACACACGGACCTCATCCATGAACATCGTTACTTTGTAGTACTCATATCCATGACAGGTCCTATAGCTCTCATCATCAGAAAAGCGATTTTGAGGACATATTATATGCTACAAACAGAACTCGTCCTACTATCCGTATTATTAGACAATATACTCGCAGAGAAAAGAAATAAATTACATGAATAGCAAAAAGCGCGAAGAAATTGTCTTCAGCCACACTGGCCAGACACTGGCAGACATATAAATGGACAGCTGAGAGGATTAAAGATAACGCTCTCAACTTCACCACGAGCTTTCAACATAAAACTTCACATCTGCAATGGGTGGATGCATTGAACAACGGAAGAATACTTATTCGGGGAGAATGACGATGCAGAAGATGAATAATTGATCAGAAATCTGGCAAAAATACAAAAATTCAACAAAATGAGGATGAAAATCTAACGAGAAAGATATCTGTACAAGGTAGAAAAGGGGAGCGATCGAATCATCATCATGGACAGCTTGATACACTGCCAACAATCGAGTTGGCAAGGCCCAGACAATAGGGAAAACCACGCAACTACGCCGTACGTGGGAAGTTTTGTACACCAGGAAGGACACCTGCAACTCTGTGTTAGCAGCAAACAGCAGCAACTGACAACAACGGCGACATGAGCACAGGCGCGACAGGTGCTAGGTGATGATATTGTCGTAGTTCTGGAAGAGCTCCTCAAACGGCGAAATTGTAGTGTTCACGTTGTTCTGATTGGAGGTGTACTGACGCACTGTGCTCTCCTTAACAAAAACACATCGCGAAGGAGCAAAATGGGTTAGAAAATAGAAGGGGATGTACAGTTCTCTTCAGTCGGGACGGCATTACAGTGCATAAACTAATAAGCGAGCACATAAGTAGTTAGTAATTAGTAGATGATAACTGTTTAAGTTGGCATAATTTTGTCTGCTCTGTTGGTGTTACTCACATGTGTGTTGCACATGTCTTTTAATAAATAAAAATAAATAAATAAGCAAGTACTTGCGCGTAATCAAATATCATTCCTTCATCTTCTACAGAGCTAGGAGGCAAATGAGAACATCTATTCAAGCCTGGCAACTAACCCATGTGTTCAGGAACTCAGTAACTGAATGGAGACCAGGACGAGCGAGTCGTTCGTATACCACATTCTGTAGGTCATCGTAAAAGAAGGCATCTGAACGACATTGCGATGAATTTCTTCTGAAAATTACAAGTCACGAAAAAAACTTGCAACCCACCTAAATCAATCGCTGCTCGATGGACTGTCGCAGGAGCTGCCGGATAGGAAAGAGGAATAACCAGTCGGAGAGCAGGAACCTGTTGGCCCTCTGAAGAATAACAATAAGTTTTCTAAGTGATTTTAATGATCATTTGAAAGATAAAAAAGAAAACTGTAATGGAAACGAGATAATGTGAACAGCGGGATTTGCGACCTTCGTTTAGATGCAATACTTCCAATTATTAATGAGTTTTCAGACCACCTGCATTGATAGAGTTCAGTGGGAACGAAGACAACACAGAAGTTTGAATGGAATTCGCAGTGGAAGGAGATGCGCAGGTGATCGTGAGCACAATACTCCGACAAGCAGGTTGTGCGATTATTCCGATTCTTAGTCGAGATGAATCCCGGTAGACCGTATAAAAAACAACCAGCTTTACGATCAAAATTTGCTCTTCAACCAAATGTGTGGTTAATTCAATGACGGCTTTTCAAATCGCGCCTTGGTCACAATTTGACGGCCTGTCTCGTTTATCCACCACAAGAACAATATTGGTATAAACATCTTGAGAAAGAGAACTTCTCCGAGAAACATTTGAAAAATATTCGTTTTGATATGCTCTAAACTCTTTCCTGAGACCCAGCATGTCTACTATGATACCTAACACACCTCGCTCACTCATACCATGAAGGATCGGGTGATTTTCCCCTCCGCGATTTAAATGATTGGCAAAAAGGATTGAAACGCAAGTGTGATGAAGTAAGCTCCCAATAATGCGCTTAGTTCGATTACACTAGGCGCACTATGCCTTCAAACTTGAGAAACACTACGAAGTTGAGAACCTGATTCTATATAAAAGGGTGATCTCCTCCGTTTCAGGTGACATACTCACAACAACAAGTGTTCATCAGCTTATCCATCAGTACAAGCAGAAAAGTTCTCAGCTGGCGACACAACATTCCCTCGTACACAATCTTACGAAGGAGATAGAGAAGAGGAGCAAGGCAACCCATTCACATACCAAGACCCGAGTAGAGGAAATATATTATGCTCAGTGGCCTAGCTTTCTGAATGAACGCTATGATTCAATCAGAACGAAATAAGAAGAATGTAAGTGGAACAAATAACCGGTTCTGCAGATCTACAGAAGATTGGATGCTTCTTAGGAACGGCGGAGGGCTGAGCTGAAGTAACAAGAAGGTTCACCTTTTGATTGAATGTGAACACGTTAAGAAGCTAGAAGCAGCAACGCCTGATTTGCTTCAAAGACAGAAACTTTTGTGCATCGGACCGGAAGAGCACTATTTCCATCAACTACTTCCTACTAACAAGTCTGCTGAACCACACTGATTTTTGTTCATTTCCCAAATCACAAAGCGCTCCAAAATTCATAAGAACTTCAAACACTCAGCAGGTAGGAGTCGATATTTTCCAACGTACACCACACGTCCAACGATTTGCAAGAGACAGGGAATGGGACAAAGCAGCAGACCTGTATACGATGCGTCTGAGATTGGCATTTAGAGTGAAAAGGTCTTGACGAAAAAAACCTTCGACTGCGAAGCATGAAAGTATAAATGGGTTCGCTAAAGAAAATTTAATTTTTCAAAAAGGTTCATAAAAGCCATTCCGTGCTATACAAAGAGAGTTTGGGAAACCGTAGCCAGAAACGAATTCGCCTCAGGAACCTACACATATATTAACGTCAAGCGTAAAGCATATTCAAACAAAACAGCGTAATTTTAGAATGTGCCCAGATAGTGCTGAAAAATAAATAACCTACTTATTTTGCACTTCACTAATGTGGAAAGAGGATCATGGTGACTTTCCGTATTATTGTCAAATTCGAATCTATCGGATAATTGTGACAACTCGCGTCGAGCCGCTTCAGGAAGAGACGGCTTGCTCTGAACAACCAAACAATCAACGGATGATAAACGAAATTATGTCAATGACGAGAAGGGAAAACTAACCCCTGCTGGTTGCATGTTGCCAACGGCTTCCAGAGGAGTGGGAAGGAAATCATCCATGTTGTAGAGGTCATCAACACCAGGCTGTTCAGCGGATCCTACACTACCAGCGCTACCAGTGCCTCCACCAGAACCAGTAACGTTTGACGTCGTAGATGACGTCGCAGGGACTGTGGAGAGGGGTAACGTCCCTCTTGGTCCTTGGCTCGGAGCTGAAATTGAGAAAAAGGCATTGGCGCCAGCAGTGAGTGCAGTCAACAAAAATTTATCACTGACGCAGACCAGCTGGTGCAGGAGGTGTGTTCATCATTCCATCCATCGAATTACCTCCCAAACGTGAGGGATCTACCGGTTGTTGCATAGACTGAAGAACAGGTGGAGGTCGCATTTGGGGCCGCATAGAGGGATATGGCCGGTGATGCTCTACCGGAGACTCCCTGTATGTTTGCATAGGACCACCACCTCCGGATTGACTCATTGGAGGGCCCATCATCATACCTGAACGAGTACTCAACTTCGCAAAAGTAAAACGATAATGTTCATCAGATATGGAATGCGCACTGTCTTCTTCCAACAATTTTTTAAGGGATGATCGTGAGTTATAAATGATATCGTTTTATGGGCGTCTATGGCAGTGTGGGCGTCTGAGTTGGGAAAGCTCTCACTCGGTCGCCCTCATGGGAGTTTTCCTGGTGTGGCAGCGAATAGAGCGTGCTGTGTTGACAGAACCGTATCCCATCGTGGAACGTTTAGAGAAAAATTACACTAGAAAGATGGGAACAGCAAAAATCGAGGGGCCAGAGTAGTGCTGTTAACAGTCGAGCTCAACAGCAGCAGCGTTCATTAGAGGCGTTTTCTGAAGATTTTCAAGAACGTTCCATGATGGAGAAGGAAACCTGTGCTATCACATTCTAATATCGTCTGGATGGTAGGCACTATTTCCATTCTACAGTCCCCTGCTATACCGCTTTTGAAAGTAAGGCAGGAAGGAATATCTATGACGGAAATGTAGAATTTATCTACCAACATTATATACAGAACAGACCTTGCTGCATGTGTTGTGGTGGCGGCCACATTTGTTGCGGATGCATTGGAGGGTAACCGCCTTGGTGTAATGAGGGAGGAGGATATCCTCCCTGTGGAGCGCCGTACATTGAGCCTGGGTGGTGATCGGAGGATGCATTCAGGACAGCGTTGATGCCATCAACCATCCCTTGCCCACCCATGCCCATGTGTCCATTCTGCATTGCAGTTGCATGTGGGTTGTGAGTAGTTGCCGCCTGGAATGGACCACAGTCTACACACCCTTGAAACAACAGAATGACTTTAAGCAAAGCCCTAAAACAAACGGTTGTATCCTGAAAGAAAATTACCAGAAAGTCAGCCTTTTTGTGGATCCAGTTTTCAAGATTCAACAAATACTCCAAACTGACGACACGCCTGCCTTCTAAGACGCCAAGCATTGTCTCGAGTTTTTGAGCGGCCTCCATATTTCCTTCCATGCGACACTGTTGAGCCCTCAATCTGCAATACCGAGCAGTTAATGAGGAGCAGGTTAGCTGGTCCTGATGGCTGGCTGAATTTTCATTCTACGTCAACGGTTCATGCTCTGCGGTAAGTTTAACTGGTTTAAGCAGTAACTACAATCGATATGAACTCTATGAGGGGTACGGCCGTATATTATTTCAGATTATCAGCTACCATCACAGTCAAAGACAATTGAAAAAGGAAACTCATTGATATTGAAGTGTACATATACGTTGCCACACGACAACCCTTCAAACAGCACAACATGCTACAAAGAATTCCAAGTCTTACTTGAGATTCTCACAGTACGGCCGCAGCATCCTCAGCTTTTGATTGTAGACATGCTGTTGGTCATGTTGGGAGTCCATCGTTCCACCTACATGTGCCGGTGCACCCATTTGCGGATTTGGACCACCCATCATCATTTGAGGGTGACGGTTCACCTGAAATACGAGAATTGTACGTACTGCACCAGTTATACGTAAAGATAGCGATGGGCAGCGAAGTGGTTCACAGAGGCGCAGCCTTCGAAGGGCATCAGCAGAGCTGAGCGTTCTTGTCAGTGCTTGAAATTCTGAAGCCCCGCCTAACCCACCTTGCCCCAACCACTAACGCTGTCCACATGTTACTATCGAAGCAAGAATAATAATATCAAGTCACATGGATGCAGCACAGCTACAAGAACTTATTTAGGAAAACTATGCTAAGTACCCACTGGTCTTCATTGAAAAGATGAACCTTTCTAACAATAATTCCATCAAAATATGGGCATTGCCCTTATGGTTGGAAAAGAATCGGGAAAAGAGGCAACGCACAGGTCATGAGCAGAAGTCGCGGTAAAGGAAGCAAGAACAATCAAGAATAGGACAGTTCTGTTTATAGCGTGGAGCAACGTAATCTTGGAACGGTCTCAATTCTCTGCGGTATGCAAAAACATGCTCTAACATTTTTCAATACATTTAGCCCACGATTAGATTCCAATGTGAAGTTTCATTCTTTCTATTGGCAAAAGCAATGGCTATCTTTTGCACGATCATGCCGACCAACTTATCCTCTTTATTGTTCCGGAACTTATGTAAAACAATAGGTTGGCATGAACGTTCTGCAACAAAAAGAAAGTCAGCCCGGGTTCATTTCTAGAATTTTCCAAAACAAGCAAATACTGAGAAATATAGTCACCAGAGAGTCAATAGCCTCACAACGTAAATTGAGCTAATCATTGAATCTTCTTTTCCGAAATCAGGAGTCTGTAATTCAAAGAAATGATCGACTGCCGTTCCCGCATCGTATTAAGTTAAGAACTTTTCCTTCACAAAGGGATGCTTGCAAAAACGGAACACAAGTCATTAAAAGGGGTAACGTTCCTGGAGTACGGTTGATAAACAACCCAGAACCTAGCGAGGCCGGTAAATTTTTGACGGGCCGTTCCGTCGATTAAAGCAAAATTCCGACGTGCGTTGCCGTTCTTTATGAACCTGGATGGTGGTTCTGAACGTCTTTATTTGATCGCGTTGATCATATGCTGGGATCCATAGGGATAAACGATAGCTGTTACTATTCAGCTTGCGTTCAGCGACTCATATTCTTGGGTCTCTTCATACCCCACAAAACTGTGAGGTAATATCTGCATGACTTATATGGTTAGAAGCTGCTGCAGTAAAGCGGATCAACTTGTTGTTGATCGCTTATAGGTGAACAGTTCTTTCAATGAACAGATCGTTTATGATTTCAGTCAGCGCTACTCCTGCGTTCTTTCCTTGACGTGCTTAGTAGCTGATGCTACGAATATGATTTTCCATTAAAATTATTCAGATTAACAGTTTGACGGGTAACCAGTTTACACTCAAACTTTCTTTTCTGAAAGATTCTGCAAGCATTTGCGATTTTTTATTTCTCAAATCCTCATTCCCAAAACACTACCATGAATTCTTCACTATAGCCTAGGCAGCTATTGCAGCCGTTGGGCCCTCACTTTCTGCTATTCTCTGATTATCTCTTCCAGCCTGCGAGCTATCTGCAGGTTTGCGTTTTTTTTAAATACCAGAAGGTAGTAAACCGATGACTTCCACAGTTAGTCAACGATTCGCTCAGAGTACTCTTCGAACAAGAAAATTTTGGCCTTTCTCACGTTTGCCAGGGGTCCATCTCCTGCCAGCACGCCCTGTCATTTGAAAATTTCGGCTCGAGTTCTTCTGAAGTCTAGACCGTCCGAGAGATTTCATCATTATAGAGATGGCCTTCAGTGATTTATCTACGAATCCAATCAAAGGCCCCGAATGTTTGAAGGAGAACGAATGAACTCGTAGCTCATTTATGTACTCCGACCGTATTAAGAGGTGCAAGCGATCGCAGCTGTCTTTACCCTCTGTTTGTGTATTTGACTAAAGGGATTAAGTCCTCCGAAACCCTGTTGGAGCGCTTTGCACAGCAGTAGCACAGCAGTAGTCAAGGTAGGCAGTTGAACGCCTTCATCAGATCAAGCACTGCAAAATATTCGTTGTACAGGGTGTCCCAAAATTATTTGCGCCGATTTATAGCAATATACTTGAAACTTCTCAACTGCGAAAGACGATGGAATTTCTGTGCACGCTAGCTAACACTATGTGCTACAACATGCTAAAGTCGCATTTCAAAATACCCCTCATGAGAGCGGATGGAAGACAAAGTTCGCTCTCGACTTGATCGCACATGGCACGCAGGTATCCTTCTCCATTTCTTCCCAGCCGTCCTCCAGCTTTTGCATTCTAGGACTCCAAACTGGGACTGCGAACTCGACAAGTCCTCTTCTAATCAGGGACCATTCGTGGGATTCAAGTGAATCAAGTTCTGGAAAATAGAATGGCCATTCCTCTTCATCAATGAAGTCGGGCAGCTGTCGTCGCCACCACTCGCGGGCAAGCTTGGCTCTGTGGGCTGGAGAAGCGTCCCGCTGGAAGGACTATGAGATGTTTCAGAAGACGTAGTCGGGTCAATGTTTTATTTACTCCCATTAGTACGCCGTTTGAGTACTGGTCTTAGTCAATTTTTACGCCTGCACCGAAGAAACCACGAGCGGCTTACCCTTCCCAGTGATTTCCTCGAAAAACATCATTTTACTGTTCTGATAACAACCTTTTTGTGAGATAGTACACGCTGGATGTTTCTTTCCGGAACGCGAACATTTTGGTTGTTGAGGAATGGCTTCATCGTAAAAAATTTCTTGACCAGAGAAAACGATGAAGGGTTGCGTGTCATCACTTTCAACTTACTGCATTTTTGGCCCGGCAGTATCTGTTGAGATCGGAATTGAAGCGAAATTTCTGCATACGATAGGAACGACAGTGAAGCTCCTGCATGACATTCTTCCATCGCGATAACTCGGGTAAGCCGTGCCCGTTGACTTCCTTTTGATGGGTCACCCAGGATCCCGACCGATTGGCATACGGACCATTTTAACAGTCCTGTCTTCAGAAACATTCTACCTTTCTATCTTTCCTGGTTTGTCTCTGATTCAATCTTCTTATCAATATCGTTTAATAGCCTCCTATACGGTTATTACAAAAATCCCAAGAAATTTCATAGTGCCCTTCTACCTCTCGCGTGTCGATGATTGCATGTGGCATTGAATGAGCCTCCTCCATCTGAGAGATATTGGGAGTTTCACATCAGTAGCCATGCATATTGCAAGGAAACCTTCTTATGCAACTAATCAACAACAGGTTATGTGAATTTGATATATTATTTCTACCTTAAAAATTACCGAACTTTGGCGCAAATAATTTTGGGACACCCTGTATATAGACCTCTTGAACATGAATTCGAACTGTTCTTGTGAGCCGCGGCGAGCTTCCTCATTTATGAGGTTATGAACTTTCTCAGATTAGCCTTAGCAGTATGCCATATGGTATCGTGATGTTCTAGCAAACCTGATGCTCAATGGCCTGAACCACCAATATCCCCCTTTGATTGGCGACCAAAGACAGTACTGCTTGTCTACATATCTGGAAATCTTCCTTCAGTAGATATTGTGTTCAAGTTTACCCTATCTCTGACCGCCTGTCCTGACCGTCATAATTCCCGCTCCTCGAAGGGCCTCAACCTTTATCTATACTGCCATGGGACCCTCTATCTATACTGCCATGGACACTGATCTATTTGAAAGCAGTGCAACTGTCTGTTCAAAGAACGCCGATGTATTTGTCCCACCACCTCCCAACCTCTTCCCTTGGAACAACGAAGGTACCGCTGGATTTCATCGTTGTCTACATTTGCCGCAGTAGGTGACCTAGGGCTGCAGACTGCCAAGTCAGGGATCAACAACCAGGTCAGGGATCCTTTCCTGTTTTTCGTTCTTGACTAAAATCTTCGACACAAATCAGGTATCTTTCAACATATATTACAAGTGGACTGTGAAATAAGCAACACTCAAAAATGTACAGCGTCACTTCGCGAAATGAGCACTTCGAAGAATAAATACCATCATTACATCAACTAATATGAAGTGAAAATCTTGCCTGATGAGGGGCAGGTGGATACTGAGGCTGATTGATCAGCGCTTCAAGCACAGTGGACTGCCCACTAGAAGGCGGTTGCTGTCCTTGCTGTTGCTGTTGCACATGATGTGGTGGCATCTAAAATTTAGATTCACCTTCGGCAAATGGAAAACAGTCAACCAATTCTGTGCTTTTTGACAAAATATGAGTATGACTTCAGCAAATGCTATTCATGCAACGTCTAATAATCGAAAAATAGGCTAAACAATGAAATTTGAAATACAGCAAACATACAACAGATACATTTCATACTTCGCACAAGAGTTGCAAGGAAATGTTGGGAGTGGAATGCGTAATCTACTCGTGAAACAACAAAATTTCACGAGTACGCATGTGGCAACGGCGCCTTCACAGAAGCGCCCTCTACACTCCATACATATCCTTCTTCATATAAGGCGCTGAGTGTGTCTGTGGTTATGTCGATGTGATTATGTTTGTATGTGCGTTCGGTATGTATGCGTGGTGGATGTGTGTGTTGGACCGGATATTTATACTTCCTGCTCTACTGCACCAGAATGTCCAAATTTGACGACAGGGCGACAAAACAACTTTACAAGAAAGAGAGGAGATCCCGGTGTTAGCCGGGCTATTCTACTCAATATCATTATACCTCAACATCAAGTTACATCTCTAATATTGTACAACGAAATACATGAGATACTACATATCTGAATGCAATGACCACAAATCATACAAGAGCTGCACCTCTCACCTGCTGCTGTTGCTGTTGTCCGTAACCTGGGTGTTGACCCCATTGCTGTGGAGGTGGATAGTGCATTCCTTGTGCATCCCAGCTTCGCGATAATGGCTCCTTAAAAAGCGATTTACAAGAAACACTGCAAGTGTGCGAGCATAATTATGTTTGCTTGCCACAAATTTACAGCATAGTTAATGCTGTTTATTGCAAGTACACAGTTGTTTTCTTCTGTCTTTGTTTTGTTGTTTCCTCTGTTTAATTAATCCAGCAGCACGAACTAACCCAATACTTATCAAATGAAATCGAAGCAAATCGAAGCTTTAAAATCCCCGTGATGTATTGATACGCCCGATTCGATGCTCTCCGCGATTTCGAGGGCAGTATAAACGGACTGCCGAGTGGAGAAGTTACTGATACAGGATCACCCTCATTCAATGAATTCTTGCGCGGAAAAGAAATTGTTTTACCAAGCAGCCTAGTTTGGCATAATAAAAGCTTCGAAGCCAAGAACAAGAACAAGCGTGAGACTGATAATTTGATGCCAGGACACTGAAAATTGTTGGCTTTGGAAATAGGTCGTAAGGACGGCATTTACATTACTGTCTGACTTAACTACTTTACACTATAAAATGCAATTTTTTCGCCCACCAGGTATCCTATTAGGTAGGACAAAGTTCTTTTTGAATTGTAAGGAGTCCTACAATCTCGTGGTCAGCCCTAACGAAGGTTCTGACGTGATGATTAGGCGCCTCCTTATATTTCGGAAAAAGATGATCCACTGGATTATTCACACTAGCTAGATACAAGCAACCTTACCAGCGCTCAAGAAGGGCTAATTGAATTTTAGAAATCAAAAGAGAAACTCTTCTAGAAACTTATCTCCCGATGGGTGATTAAACAGTTAAGGAATGGAAGTTTAATGCTGACTAGTATATCTACGGTGAGAAAAAATCTGAAAGACTGGTGAGAAACTGGAAAAATGTAAGCGCTCTTATAAATATCTTTTTACGTTATGCAGATTGCATAAAGGAAGTGGATCATCCCCTTAGGAGGCTATTTAATATACCATTGAGGGGAGTGCTTGGCGATAGCGTTTCGAACAAACTTTCATCCCTTACTTCGTCCTCAACCATATCTCCTCCTCAGGCTCAAATTTTGTTTCATTAAATAGTTTAAGCTATAGATTCACCACTAATGATCACTAGTAATCACTAGGTGAACGTATTATGTAGAAAACGAAACCATGGACTCATAGAAATTCTAGAGAAATTCGAAGAGTATAATGTGTGGAAAGACTGAAACTATTCTCAGAAAACAGCAATATGCGTCTAATAAAGAAAGGAAATCCGACAATTAATGGGATACTAGTGCGCATCTGATATCACCGAATACAGATTGCTAGAAAACATATTTTCCTCTATCCTCTATCCCCTACATTGACAAAGCGCTAACTTTGCGAAATTAAACCCAAACAAGTCTTAATGATAGAACGCACGTGAAAGAATTCTGTATTCTTCAGATCTCCACTCTAAATTGTCAGTGAAGCAGTGTCGTGAGCACTACGTTAAGAGGTAAATGTTGGGAATGTTTTCGTGCATTTTTTGAGGAAGACCACGGACAAACGACTGTGAGCATGTGATGAAAGTATTAGCTTGCGTAGCCCAACTTAAGACCATAAATGCCAAAGGATTTCTCTACTTAACTTGGGAGTTTTTTGCTTCTTCCACCAAGCAAAACGTAATCTGGATATCGGGGAGGAGGTAAAAGGGAAATATGTACGAACGAATAGAAGGCAACAAGATTGTGCTAATTGAAGGAAGATAGAAATATAGAAACCAGAGAAACGAAAAACGAGCGGAAACGAAATTATCGATTCTACGATTATTGTTACTATTACTCAAATTATCACTGCTATTATTACTTTTGTTAATTATTATTGATACTGTACTTCAATAATCACCTTTAATAATATGATACCTTAATAACTCCAAATACTTAATATCAGTACGTCATTACTAAACGATACTGTTTCTAAATATTCTTATTATTCTTGGTATTCCGAGTATCACTGGTGTTCTTGATATTCGAAGTATTCTATGTTTCCATAGGACCCTAATTATCTTAGAACGTTAAACAAATTCAAAATCTGTTCTCATTACTGTACTGATACTACTAGAATTCTTGCATTATTACCACTAGTAATATTAATATTATTATTGCAATAAGAGAAAGATAACAAGGAAAATAGTGAATCACAACGTTTCTTCTCACTTAGAATTGTAGTTAACACTCTTAACATCACCGTTCGCTAAGATGTCATGAATAACAATTTTATATATCGTACCAGAATAGAAGGTACTTGGAATGCTCACCTGTTTCGGTTGTTTCTGCATCCTTGCATCATAGGGCGCCATCTGCTGTTGCTGTTGTGATTGTTGGGGTGACATCATTTGATAAGGAGGACATCCCCCCTGGGCCATCATCTAGATTAAATTTTATATGCAAAGATCAAAGATTCTCAACATTGTATACAATACAGTTATTAGATATCCGATGAAAAGAGAAGTGACGAGAAGAATATAGTCAACGAGCCAAATCAGGGAAAAACAGTAACTCATTACCTGCCCTGGTGGCACTGCTTGTGCTCCTGGAGGCTGCATTTGTGGTGGGGGTTGCCCGAGAGGCGGAGCAGCATAGGATTGTTGTGGCGGACGAGATGGATCGGGTGAAGGATACGTGGACTGTTGATTTCCCATTACAGCCGCAGGCTGTTGTTGTTGTGGTTGTTGCTGAAGAGAAAGCTGTTGTGAAGCTGTTGCGGTTGGTGTTGGTTGGCTCTGATTTCGATTCTAAATACGCGATTTTGCGCATAGCACCATCCCAAAAAGAGGTGGGACTTATGACCCCCAAAAATTAATTACATAAATAAAAAACCCCCCACCTGTGTGGGTTGAGGATCAGGAGGCACCGATGCTCGATATGATGTCGAATTTGCATTGGTATTATTTACATTTGGAGCAGAACATGGAGGACTGTGGAATGAAGGTTGAAGCACGGATGGAACCGCTGCTGACTTGGAATTACAGTTGATCGCATTGATGACCTAAAGAGATATTGGAGCAACAAGTATCAGCATGGACCTTCACAAATTCCTTCGACGATCGAAAGAGCTTTGCATTGGGAACAAACTCAGGAAAAACAGTCAGGAAAAACAGACTCAGTGATACAAGAATCCTAAGAATTATCACAGAATTACTTGCCCTGAGAATGAAAAAGGCGGCAGCCAAGAATTTTCCTTAACTTACTCTAGATGTCTCACCTCAGTCGTCACCTTTCACTGTTGTCTGTTGTTTATCGCTGCTTCCCTAGGCGCAAAGTAAATAGGTAAGTGACTAAATATTACATCTGCTATTTCTTGCTAGGGATACAGAGCGATGAATCTTTTTCTGAGTTTTAATATCTCAGAGGACGTTATATACCGGCCAGATGAAAGAATGTTGTATCCATAAATGTGTCAAAAAGAGGCAATAGATTTCGATATGGGGATTGTGGGAGCAATGAAGCCGCAGGAATCCTATTTCCTCCTCTCACGCCGGTGATACGAATCTGTTGTCGTCTGAATTACTCAACATAATTTTTGGACGCTCCATTGTGATTCAGCGTTAGCGAACCTTTTTTAAGCGCAGAGCAGCAGCTGAAAACATTTAATGCGGTATGCTCACAGTGAGCAGACCACATTTATCCACATACCAATTCAGGATGCGCTATGAACATGGTAACAATTTCACTCATGGAAGCAATTTCTTCGCTGAGGATTTTGATTCCGAAGGATTTTGATATTCACTATTTCTATGTTTATGACATATCATAACTCATATATCTGCTTGGTTGTTTTCAATTTCAGTTCCCGAGAAGTGACTAAGCCTCAACCTCACGCAGCTGCTATTCCGTCTCTGCGCGCTTCTGGTAAATCCTTTTACGAGATCGTTCGTCCTTCCGACTACTCCTGCACAAGCGTCTATTTAACAGACAGGGTAACGATAAACCTCAATCTGCCTCCCTTGCGACCCTTTTCCCGAAGATAATTGATAGGGAATGATTAGGTTGCTGAATGGCTGAATTGAATGTGCTGCTATTTCGATGGGAAGCGCCTTCCCTGAGCTTCCCTCCTCCGTAATGGGTTGGGTTGGGTTGAAAACTGAGCCTTCACGCATGAACACACTTGATCCGATTCCACCCTGCTTCCAATTAACCTATGAGTCTTTCCGACTGCTACACAATGGATTACTGCGTAGGAAGTATTCTCGAAAGCGATATCTACGCTTCAGTACAAGCCGAACTCTGATTTCTAAATGAAAAAAACGACCCACTAGAACTTCGCTTCTCCCATGAGCAGATCTCATTCATTTCTCAATGAAGCAATCTAAACTGCAATCAAATACTCGCGCGCGGCAAGTTTATCCACAGGAATCAAAGGGCACCCAAGTTGGAGAGACGCGAAAGCCTTCTTCAAAAGAAATGAAGTCACGAAAGTGAGAAGTTGAAGCAGTACCCTAGCTTCAGATGGCAGACATAAAACTCACACTTTGATCGAAGGAAACATTTCGTAAAACAGAAATGAAATTTCGACACCTTAACCGAAAAGACAAACTAGTTTACCTTTGCGATCGTTCGCATGTACTCGTCCTTACTAAGGCACTTCTGAAAAACATATTCCTCCACTTGACGAGCATCTCCAGGCACAGGCAAATTCGGCGCATTCTGACGATTTCGAGCCAATTCTGGCTCTCTAAAGATAAAGTTCATCAGCATATCATCAAAACACTACCAGTTTAAGAGAAATCTACTCTCGACTGAGGTTCGCCTTATGAGACCCCAGACTTTTTCACTAATCGAGTAGAAAGTCAAAAATGGAAGCAATTACGATAGTAGGAAAAGTTTAGATGAAAGATTTTCAACGAAATATAATTACAATACATATGATTAAAATGTATAAGAACAAAAATTCAGTCCGGCAAGTTAGTCTCACAAAAAGTTACTTTCACAAACAGCACATTTCCTTTCACGCTTCGACGCTATTCGAATAAACATATCTTCACCGCCCTCCCACCTATATGATGCATTCAAAAGGAACCTTGTGCATGAACTTGGATCCGGTAACTGTTTAGCAAGAGGGTTACCATTGCATCACAGTATTCGTCGTTCGAGTCAACACCCATAAATGGGACTACTGACTAGTGTGCTGAGTTTTTTTGTTGTTTTAAATGTTCACTATGATAGGAAAATGGAATTAGTGCACTGGATATATCCCTTCAGAACTGGCCATGCGTTAAGACGAGGCAACTTTTTGGTAGCTGTTTCTTGCTTCAGGAGGTTCGGTTGCCCCAAAGCCTATTAATTTTGGCTACCTCCCTTGAAATCTCGTTATGCTATCAGAGAAGCCACCCGGAGCGTTTCCGATCAAATGCTGATGAATCATAGTTGTCAAGTTCGTAACTCTCATCCCGTAATTTTATTGTAACAATGATTGAGGACTTCATTTCAAGGAAAGAGAACAAAGAGCTGACTAGACCCTGATCACTTTTCACCCGATCAGAGTCCGTAGCGTAAAGAACTAATTGAAAGTATATAAATTTAACGCTTGCAGTAGCGAAACTTGAGTGTGCAGCACAATGACCCGTGGTGTTGACATCCTCTGTGGTACTTCCCGCCAGAAAATGGTCAATTAATATTAATACTGGAAAGCTCAATTTTGTCAGATGTATGAATGTTAAATGATCTTTTCTCAACCTGCTCAAGCTTATTCTTGACCAAAGCGCTACATAAAAGGCAAAGTGCACGATAAGAAAGGCCTCGAGATCTCCTGCTAACTTCTTAAGAATAGGTCCTACGAGGTGATGCTTCCAGCGTCGCGGAATTTCAGCAGATATAAAATTCAAATTAAAAACGAGTGAAAGATGATAACGTCAGTGAAACTCACAATCTGTTAATGACATGATCGCGGAATCTCTGGGATGGCCAATCATCGTCCGCCATTCCCGCCGAAATAGCTCAGAGAAACAGAAGAGAAGGTCACCAGATTGAGCTGGTATGGGCTATTACCAATCCTCACACCCAAAATCAACACTGGAAAGTAGAATAACCAAATAATAAGGAAAAAACCAACACCAGTGAAAAATATCGATTCAGACGATGAAATGCTGTTTAAAGTACGAGTAGAGAACTGACATATAATCTAACAGCATTGACAATACTTGATGAATATTTAATCATTACGTGCAAATTTCTGAAGATGAGGTTCAAATAAAATCAACGCTAATACAAGGAAAACAACAAGAAATGAGACCAAAGTGGCGTCAGACCTCCTGTTAACGCCTCAACAAGACGGTTTTTCCTTTCAATTGTGGACAAAACCGAATGCTACAAGATCACTATCGATTTCAAAACACCCCAAACCGATACGATCCATTAATGCATTATTGAAACAGAACCCGGATAGAAGGTAGCTACTGTTCATTTAAACAATGTCTCATCTTGACGCTTTTTCGTAGTAAATGTTCCAGGTTTTTGCTGAGCTTCGGGATGATTGGACAATTCGGCAGGACAGGATGATAGAGGTGATTCCAACAGACATTGCTTCAAGTCATAGAATACTGCACTGTCATCCGGTGTGAGGAATGTTATCGCTTTGCCTTGTTTTCCAGCACGTCCTGCAAATAAACTTGTTAGTAACGTTATGGAAGTGATAACTCGAATAGAGATCACTAGCAGCGAAATCAGAAGAGAAAAACAGCCAGTGAGAAGAACCAGAAGCAATTCCTGCCATGAGTTATCATCGAGTACGTTGGCATGCATCATTCTGTTCTGAGAAGCGTTCACCCACTTAATTTCTATTCAAATCTAGGTGCCATTTGGCTGGATAGTTGACCTATACACTGGCAACTCCTTGCAAAGCCAGTGCTTACATCATCCTGAACAAGTCGGGTACCAATTAAACTTGGAACGCTTGATTGGTCAGGCCAGGTTACACTATGCACGAATGGATGTTTTCAGAGTGCAGCGACCGACCGACCGACCGACCGCTCGACCGGCTGACCGACCGACGATGTTGCTGGCTACGTGTTGTCACCACGTAGCCAGCAACACCGTCGGTTGGTCAGTCGTTGCACTCAGAAAACACCCAAAGAATTATGAGAACGTTTTTGTCAGAAGAGTCTGATATAACTAACTTTCAAAGCGTCACACCTCCGCAAATCTTTTTTTTGTGTCCAGTGTTAATAGAAATCTAGATGAAAGTTTAGCAGCTAAGACTAGCAAAAAGTAAGTTCGATACTATACTTATCCCGCTTGGGCCATTCGCTATGTCTGTGTGTCTGGCCGAAAATCCGTAACTTCTGTTCCCCTCCACCTGTAGCACTCAAATTTCAAACGAATTACAGGCAGGTCGAAACACAGTGGAAACAAAGCGTTAGAAGAAGAAAGACTTTTTCAGGAATCCATAGGAGCTAGAAGACAACATCCAACGGAACGGCTGCGCTTTCTATGAGCGCTGGAGCCTCGATACTCTGGTGAATAACGTGGGATATGGTCGTGTCGTATATGGTTTGTGACATTGACTAATAACAACAGATGAGGCTGTTATGAAAGGAGCTATAGATGGCAAGAGCTAATGACAGTTGTCCATTGTACCCATTCTATGAGCAGTGAAACCTTGACACTTTGGAGGACGATCTGAGATGGGGCGGTGTTTGGATGATTGGGAAAATACTAATAGCAAATGATGAGTATTAGTAAGGAGCCGAGAAAGCGAGACCATTCGGAATTTGCATACTTGAGCGGAAAGGGTGTTTAGCGCCAGCTACTTTGCTCTTCAAAATAAACGCTTGGATAAAGAAATCAACAAAACTAACTACAAACTTGACGATTTTTCTATCTAATAAATTCACTACATGATCCCTCTGTAAGTCGCAATACTACGGAAACCTGAACAAAAACATACAGGACTCCTATAAATTTTCCGACATCAAAATGCATTATGAGATGAAGAATTTGAGAAAAGAAAGGCGAATGATGTCAATTTTTATATTTGGTCACCGACTTTTGGGAGGTTCAGTACGATGCTCTGAAAGTAAGGCTGATTCAACGACCCCCAAACCATGGTGGCGCTCCGCTCCAAAACTCAATCAATCCGCTCGCATGATTTAAGAGCAACAGAGGGTTTAATAAAAGACTCATCATATCGCTACCACCGTTACGATTAATTCCTCCACACCTAAATGATGGATACTCAATTTCGTTGTAACAAAACACGAGTATGAGCGCGATTACTTCTGAACAGTGAGTTAGCAATAATAAGTAAAAGAACAACGACCGATGAGAAAACAATAGCGCTACTTATTATATAATGGACCCGGAAGATGATCAGGTAGTTGCCCTTATGAAAAGAATCCTGAAAATTGAAGTTTTATAGCACCTAACGATATAGTAAAGTTGCAGCACACAGTTCAGGATGGTGATCGCTAGGGAGAATTTCTAATGACACTCGTTTTTACGCACGGTGCGTACAGTCCAACCCTTCCTGCCCCGTGACAGCAGCCGTAAAATGTTAATCAAGGAGCCAGTTTTGGCTGCCCCTTATCACCAAACCTCCCAAATTTTCACGCAGGCTTTCACGTACCGGTAGTGTTTCCTAGTTTTCCTGATCTCAAGGGGAAGCTAATGATACGAAAAAGAACGAATACATTCAAGTCATTCCTGATTCAAATGAACAACAGGTAACTATGTAATAGAGCTAGAAAGTTACATCAAGACGTCGAATCGATTCAAATTAAGTTTGCAAGCGCAAAACAGCAGCAACTGCGCGAACCAAACCCGTTACTACTAAAATAGAAAGAAACCCGTGGTAGGCAATCGATAAGAGCCTCACACGATTTCTGTTGATACTACAGCGTTATCAACTGTGCTTTTTGTTGAGCATTAGGACCATTCCATATGAAGCATCACTAACTGATGACAGGAATATAACCCTTCAGGTTAAGCGACGAAATACTCCTCAAACAGAACCTTGAACTCATGGAGAATAATTAGCAAGGCGGCGAGTCAAAAGAAGGAGGAAGGGGAACGAGCAGACATTTTCACGCTGGCAAAGCACCGAGGTTTGAAAAGATGTCATCAAAACAGCAGAGCAAACTACATACAAAGGAATTGAACATATGTACCAGACTCATGGTGGCTAAAGTTCAAATGAGATGAGAGCGAAGACGACGGTCACCGGCCAGTCAGTCTTCCTGGGCAGCCAGTCAATCAATTCCAAATCAGCGAGATGATCGCGCCTGCACGCAGCGATCGTCGCCACGCTCACATTTTGTATCTTATCAACTTCTGCCTCCCACCGTCAACACAATCGCGCTCGACCTCTTCCGCCACTCTCGCTCTGCGATTATTCTAGTGATGATGTGCGAAATTCACCCCGTGCAAATCACGCTAAATCAGTCCCAGTTAATGTATATCATCAAACTTCACAGACGTACTATCTCGGACTTGGAAAAATAATTGCTGCAGAATTACACGCTCAATATCCGCCTATTGAGCTCGAATGTACGACAGAGTGGAAACTTGGGAGCACTAAGTACGAAAATCGAAGAATGTAATATTTCGAAAGAAATGAAAGGGAAAATCAGTATGAAAACCTTTTAGGGTAATCAAAAAAGGATGATATATATAGCCTTAGCATTCTACGTTTGCAAATCCTTATGAGAACGGTTTTGAACGCATATTCTCAACAGAAGAGACTGGTAGCGATTTAGTGACTGTGAAGGGTTGAAAGGGCACTACAGCTGATAGACGCGCCACACTTGGCACTACACCGCCCTCACCTTTGAGTACACTTAGACAATGACTCTCGTCTCGAGCAAAAATCAGCTCCCATACATGAACAGAATTAACATCTTTACCCTCCCCTATCTCCCAGATATATCCACTGCTTTGATTTTCACCTTAGCTCTATCAACCGCTATCGTGCATTACGTTCATTTCCACCTAAATTCAACGGTTACAGCTCGAAGCTGCCTATTCACTCACGGTTTCTGGGACAAACTTTTCATGATTGTAGTAAAAAAAATTAGAGGAAATCCCATTGCGAACTGCGTTGCTGACATTTGCAGGGGCCCAGAAAATAAGTTGGTGTGAAATCAACGGTGCTGCTTATACAGCAAAGAACATCACACAGATGCATACCCCCGTCGGTATTTCCAATCAATCGATTTGTTGTGAGATTTAACAAGTGATCACTACTAGGAAAGGTCAATTCTGCAGGACAACGATTAAATAAGTCGGAAGGGAAAAGTGTAATAGAGCGGAAATTCGGAATTTTGTTATCAATGGATTCTAAAAGGACACATTTCAGCGCTACGTTCGTTATCAGTCGATACCACTAAGAACTAATGTCCACTACATTAATGTAACATTGCAAACTGCTAATTGGAAGCATAGTTCGGTAGCTTTTTTGCTAGAAGCACACATATAGGGTACATTATCCAGACTTAATCGCTCATTTGACCTCAGTCTATGATTAACAGTGGACTTCCTGTGTCAGTGCTTAAACGTTGATAGGAAAATGGAAGAAATAAAAAAACATCAAGTCATTTGTTAAAAGGATATTCACCTCGAAAGAACTAGTTGTGCTGGAGGCAATAGCGAGAGCAGAGCAATCGCAGTTGAAAAATTTACAAGAGTGATAGAAAAAAAAGCTGCATAACGTAAAACCTACTATCCTACTCGTACTACTGAATATAATCAGCTTGAAAAGGTGAACTGATCTTGAAGATGAACGATGAAACAACGTTACACGAACACTTTTAGAAAACCATTGAAATTTGTAAGAAGTCGTCACAAATGAGGTGTCTACATTGGGGGTGGGAACGGCGCCAAGTTGTTGCGGAGAGCGCATAGGAGGAAAAGAAAATATCGTGTAAACGCGAAAGAAATAAGTGCGACAGGAACCACGGCACATCAGCGCTAAGCAAATAACTGTTGGCAATGCGATCAGCCCCACAATCGAGCAACAAGCGAAATCAATCAAGCTTTCAACGATGAGTTTTCTGGTTTTGTAGTGAATGCATTTCTCCGTGGTTAAGCCCTTACACAAATTAATTTCCCTTATCGCACATTCAAAATATTTTTGTAAATGTGGTTCTATAAAGGCAGTCCCCTGTAAGTTCGTGAGGTATAATATAATACATGTAATCTATAGATATTCTCATTGACGAGAATGCAATGGCAGGATTCATGGGCAGCAAAACACACAATACATAAAAATTCATACTACAAGGGAATTGCTAAAAGCCTTCTCCGTGGTGATAATTGCACGATTATGACAACGCGGGGCCTTAATTCCTAACGTCCGCCTGCATATTATTGCCACATGCAAAATAACAAGTAGGGTATTGATCCTCTTACCAAATGGATCTACTCCTTGCACAATAAACAAAGAAGCGGTCTCGTGTGTTCGAAAGCAGAAAAACGGAAAAAGACCGAAAGGCAACAAATAATGATTTGATATCTACGACCGGACAGACGTTTGCCGCGGCCCTTGGCAGCCATTTTACCATTGGAGCGCATTGGCTACAATTGCCACCCACACACGGTTTTCTGCGAAAACCAACTCGTCCAAACCATTCTATTATGGCCTTCGAATAACGACTAGCTAACAGCTTAATTAAAGTTTCTTCGCACCCTATCACCTAGGCGCGAAACCACCCCCAATTAAGAGAAGACTTAACAATAAAACTCTCCGAACATCCTCGTTAATCTGTTAGGAAGAGAAGAAATAGTAATGAATACATGGACAGCAAAATAAAATATTCAGACAAAGTTAAATGGTCAAGTTACCGGTTTAAGAGTTTGTTATCGTGCGTAAGTGAGGATCTAATGGCGAAGTACATATAACCTTCCCTTCTAAAGGTAAGTAAACGACCTTTTTGATGAATACCCAAAAGTCGTGCCGTTCGCAAACGCATTCTCAATTTCATACAGGAATGAAAATGTGATACTGCTAAGAGTACAAAATAACGGCGAGCAGGAAAGACGGTGCTGCTGTGCGCGAATGTGTATGAAATTGAAACATGAATGTGAATCTCAAAAATGCCTTTTACCGAAATATTTGCGTCAAAGGATGGATGAGTGATAACTCCTAAGACTCTTTACGATTTCCACAATTCCCACACGAGAAGGAATTGAAGTCCTATGTTGCGTGTGTATTCACTCTTAATTATGGTCGCCTCGCCTCGCACCTAGGCGCGAAGCAGGTGCTACCTATTTACACACGGGTAGCAGTCTTCACTTGCGTATTAATAGCAACTACCGTAACCCTACGCTTAGGGGGACGGTACGAACGTGCGTCCGAGGGTGCGCGCGGCGAATTGCGCGGCAAAGTTCGTGACGATTTGTACGACTGCGGCGGCGATTTTCGGGGCACAAACTTGAAGTAATGTAGCTTAGTAGGGTCGGATGATCCTCCATATCCACTCCATTTGAAATTTGGGCCC